GACGTATAAGTGTCCTGATTTTTCATATTTGTACTGATTATGCTCCGATTTTCAGTATTTTCTTTATTATTTTAAAAAGAGTCTCTCGATACTCTGACCCAAATTTTTTTTTTTTACAAACGTGGCAGCACATTCGTTGATCCTTGGTTATGTTTTATTCTTTATTCTTTTTATATGATTCTAGTTTGAGTTAAGTCAAATACTAATTCCCCCAAAAAATTCATGGATATGAAAAATATAAGCTGTTAATACATTAGCAAACATATAAATAGAGAAGAGACATTTTAACATTCTTTGGCTATTAGCCTTTCGATTATTTAATGTTTCCTTTTTTTTTAAGAAAGTGTAGCTGGTTATTTAACAAAGACCGTGCAAGTCAAGTTTCAAACGTTGTACAAAAATTAGCTAAGTTCGACAAAGTCTCATCAAAATTTTGAGCTTTTTAACTAGATTTCTTAAAAACATTATTAGTATGCAACTTTGCAGACCATTCAATTCAAAGTGCAAATTTTAAGAAGCTTGGACTTACCGTTGATTTTTGATAGTTTTTTTAGTGGACGGTGTTGCTAATTTAAATTGCCAATGATCAACAGTGAGTCCAAGCTACTTCAAACTTGCACTATGAATTGAATGGGCATACTCAAAACAATTCTAAAAAATCTGTTTAAAATGTTTATAAATTTTATCAGCATTTGTTAAACTTCAAAGTTTTGAAATTTTGATTTAATTAGTTTTTTTTTCAGATAATGAGCTATATTTTCATAAAAAAAAAAAATATTTGTTTTTTAATAAAGAAAAATAGCCACAACTTATACGTTTTTGCTATAATTTTTCAAATCTTGTGTTCGGATTCGATGCATTACAAATGTCCCGATTTTTGCCCACAGAAATCTGGTCACCGTAGCTATAACTTAATTTTTAAGCATTTTTATCTTCATGGATGGTAACTCTACTCACATGCGGTCACTTGTGGATTCTGCAGCTGGGTGCCACGCTGTGCGATCTGCGCTGCTGTCACCGCCATATTCATCACATGTTGTTGTATTTGTTGCTGTTGTTGCTTAGACGTAGACGTCTCATTCAACATTGCTGCTGCCACACTCCCACTACCGCTATTCTGCATTTGTATGACGCGCGCCAAACTAATACCGCCACTTTTCGTGCCATTCGCCGATGTAAGACGAACAATGGTGCTGCGCGGAATGTTGCTATGTACCGTAGACGGGGATGATGACGATGACGATGAAGACGATACTGATGGCTGTGACTGTGTGATTGGTTGTTGCGGATGTGGTTCGGTATTGGTGCCAGCGCTGGCAGTTTGTATACTCAAATGTGACTTTTGTTGTTGTTGATGTTGTTGCAGGTGCTGCTGTCGCTGTTGCTGTTGTAGCAGAGGAACTGTAGTCGACGTCAGTGTAGGATTCTTGCTGCTATTGACCAGTGTCGTTACAGCACTGGAGAAGCGTAGTATGGCGGTAGAAGTCGGCGTTCCAGCAGAATATTGCGTTTGGCCGAGACGTTGTTGCTGCTGCTGCTGCTGTTGTTGTTGCTGAATAAGTGCTGCCAATTCAGTAGCACTCAGAGTGCTAGCATCGATCTGTTGCTGTTGCTGTTGCTGTTGTTGTTGCTGCTGCGCGTTGTTTGAGTTGCTGGTACGTATAGATTCGGGTGAGGATGGCGGCGTTAACGTCGGCAACATGTAATCGTGCGGACTTGTACTGCTGCTGCTGTTACTTTGATTGTTATTGTTGTTGTTGTTGTTATGGCCACTACTGACGCTAACATTAATGCCATTAGCACGACTACCAGCGCCTTTATTATGCGCCTTTGTGGCGATCACACGCACCTTGATACCCTTCTCCGATACCGTCGAAAGAGTGGTTCCCATATTGGTGGCAGCATTGATAGGTCCCGCTACCGGCGTGGGCGTGCTCGAGGCAGATCCACATGGTGAATAGGCGAGTGAAGTGGCAGCAGCATTGCCCAGCGATGTAGCCAACGCCGATGCTGTGAATTTCTCCTCGCAACTGTCTGAATGCAGCTCGTCATCCTCCTCGTCGATGCGTTCCTTTTTGACCACAACTGAACAGCTAAGAGCTTGAGAGCCGCTGCTGTCCCACGACATGCCCGAACATGTCGACGATACTGACGATGTGGTCGAAACTGAATCGAGATTTTGCTCTTTGATTTTTAGCTCTTCCAAAATGCGCGCTGGTGCCGATAGCAGATCCCAAGCGGTGTCGATCTCGGAGTGGATTTTCTTGTAGGACTGCAATTTGGGTTCATCGCGCAGGTAACGCTCCAACTCGTACCATGTCTAGAAGTAGAATAGATATAAATATAGGTAATTAGTTTCAGGAATATTTAATTTTTCAAAGGGTATTTGGGAATAAAATATTGTAGATATATATGTTCGGAGTATTATATAAGTTCAGTTCAGTTTTAGAGGGAATATGAAGTTTGTGTAGATAAGATCACGCTTAGCTATGTTGCTTTTCAACTTGAGGGTCGCCAATTTATTTTGCGGTAGAAAATAATACAGAGCTTTAGCTGTTCTGAAGTTTATTCGCCCTCATAATCTTTTAAGAAAAAAAAAATACAGCAACTTTAAGACATTCTTTTAGTCTTAGAATAAGAAATTTTAATGTTTTTATTCCAAGAGTGCACTAATTTTTGCTAGATGGGTATCAAAAATATACACAAATAAACTATAAGCTGAGTTCGCTGTGCTGCATATAGAAAATTTCACATCTGCATGAGTATTCGTACGCCTAAGTGTGTGTGGAAAAATCTGCAACACAAAAGACCTGCTTAAATGGGATATGAATCAGCAGCAAAGCAATTTCACTCACTCATGTGTGATGATTAATAGCGGATGTTATGAGCGTACTTTCAGCATACGTATGCAATGTATGCATGTATGTATGTGTGAGTATACATACAAATCCAAAATGATTGCTAAAACCATTATAAATGGCTGTTTTGCATTTGAGTTTAGGATGAACAAGGCGGAATGCATTGTACGACGCACGCTAGGGCAGGAGACCTTCATAACTGTCATTAAATAAACTAAAGCTATTAGATAATCTAAAGTGGATCGAGTATTTGCTTATAAAAAAAAATATACTCAAAAATCAGCAGTAAGTCTCAGCTACTTCAAGTTTGCAATTTCTTAAAACTAAAAGGGCGACAAAACTGCATACTCAAAATTTTTCTTAAAATCGAATTTAAAAGCATTGAAATTTTTCGAAACTTTGTTCAATTCCTTGTAACTTGGTTAGTTTTCCCATTAAACAATATGGTGAAAGTATCCTGAAATCAATATATTTTTTTTTTTAATTTTTGACAGCTTTTAAGTTTATCTACCCCATTGTGCGACGGTAGGAATACCTATAGTAGGAGAATCACTTGATATCCTATTTTCTTTGATTGATGATAATTGTTTTAAGCGATTGATTGAGATTAGAGCCAATTAGAACGACAGTACAAAGATATTTCGCTTAGATTACTTAAACCACAGCGTAGTTAACATGAATCTGATGATTGTAATTAGCTAATCGGGTTGCGTTCAATACGCAAATTTCCTGTGCATGATGTGCTTCATTATATAAAAATTGCCGTAGAGATTTTTAGAACTGTACTTCTACAAAAGATTTCCTCACTATTGAAACAATGTTACAACGCACCACCGAAAATGAGAAACTTTTCTCCTCGGGCTAATAATACTGTAAGGAAAATCGACACTTTTGATATGACACAAAAAAAATGGCGAAATTCGTAAACTTAATATTGGGTCGTGGATTATGGATCTGTACACCGTTTTTGCAAATCCGCCCATTTTCCCAAGATATTTTAATTTGAATGTACAAAAATTCAAACTTTAAGATTAACTACTATCCGGCTCTCAGGAAAACCAAAAACTCCATATAAATAAGTACGCAGTTCTTAAGAAATTTACTACGCTTTCTACTACAGTTTTCAACCCATTTTGTACAAGAAATATACGCCCGGTCCATTATTTCGTGAGAAAAGAGTGGGACATCAGGCTGCTAAATATCAGAAGCCAAGATTTCTTGGACTCACACACGAAATACTCGCATATTTTTCTTTCAAAAAAGCTCTGACATTTACTTGTAATCCATGTTGTAGGAATTTGTAGAATGAACGCAACAAAATAAGATTTGTAAAACTAATATTGCAGATTCTACGACAAATAAGTACACTTGATACTAAGGAACCGTAAGACTGCTTTCATCAAAAACTTAGAGATTTACGAGAGAAAAATAGTGACGATGCGCCATTGGTAACTGAAGAGATTGTGGACAACCACGGACATGATGGAACTCCAGATGACCACGAAGTAGAAGAAATCCAGTTACCACAATACGACCCGGAAGATGAAATTGAAGATGATGAAGAACTTGATGATTTAGTATGCCAAACCGAGGAAACTATACTGGCAAAGGTGGAACAATTTGGTCTACTGAACCCACAACATACTACTCAGATAATTATTCGTGAAACAAATCAATGTGAAGAACATTGGAGTACACAAAAACCCAACAAGAGAACTGTAACTATAGAAAGCCAAAGCAAAAAGTAAATTTTATGCGTATTCGGGTCTTATTTTGCTAAGTGACGTGACTCATTCATTCATTTGTAAAAAACAACCTCAAATCCGATATGTCGTTCTGCAATAAGTGTATGACGTTTTTTTTTTTTATGATCAGCACCAACCTACATAGCAATGATATAGCCGGAGCCAACGCCAATGCTGATGGGCAACTGCATCTACTCCATGGCGTAATTATACACACCATATATACCACCAAAACCTGCTAAATATGAAATAAAAGTGTGGTGGATATGAAACTCCATATGGAACAATCCATCTCAGGAGATGTTTACAAACCGACGTGGGAATAAAGAAATCTCCTTTTATCATTTTAGCGAGAAACTGGCGAAGCCGGAAATAGATGTTACAGCTAATACTGGTCGAATATCCATAATATTCTCTACACGCAACGCCAATGGTGCACTAAATGCTGGTTCCTCTAGGATAATGGATGGCGAGGAAGAACACACAGCGCGGGCAGAATAAAAGAAAAGGATAATTTCACTATATATGAGACAAAAGACGCCGGATACGGAAAGCCTACATATCGCGAAAAACACCCGTGTGTGCAGAAAATTCTTCCAATATGCCGCATTGCAATAGATGTAGTTAAAAACTTTATAGTTTCCTATTTATTAATATATTTCATCTTATTATATTGTCATTCAATTTTTGTATTATTTTTTAATTTTAAACGCACTACAGTTTTCTTCTCAATGGTAGCAACATATTTGCATGCGTTTCCATGTGCATACCCGGGTATGTAGCTGTTGACGTAAGAAATAGAAATCGAAAAATGGACAAATACCTAACCCAGGTAGTCAAATCTTTCTCTTGGGAATATGGTGTAAAACACTTTTGTTGAGGATGTCATGCAATTTTAGGACAATCCGACTGGTAATTTCCAAGATATAACGATTTGAAAAGGCAAAACATATCCGGGTCTGTTGCTTTGGAGATAAAGGTTAACAAGAAGAAATTAAAAAAATAACAAATCTTTTGTGATTTTTCATTAGAATTAAAGCCTGGTTTTTGCAAAAAAGTAAAACTACCAACGATGTAAATCAATGGGTAAATAAGCATTTTTGAATGGTCAAATGAAAATGTGCGAAAATTGCTCGTATAAAATATGTATGTAGGAGCATGGCCGTTTATGAAAAAGATTTTTCTATGGAGAAATGCACTTGGAGATTAGCCATTCCCTGCCGAGGGTCGACCGCGGTTAGAAAACCCTTTCCCTAAATTAGATGTTGGTGAAACCAGTTATACTAACTTAATGCAACCAGTTGCTAGTGGATTTCGCTCTATAGGTAGGAGTGATAGCAAATAAGAACAGGTGAATATATATATGGAGATCAATGCTTCTTTGCAGATCCAGCCATTTGGCTTATTTGTTGCTAATTTTATCAACGACGATATTTTTTCGTCATCGTTATCTTTATAAATGTAGCAATTGATATGCTTGGTTTATACATTTTTTAATATCGCAATTTTGACAAATTAACTACACGTCAGAAAACCTCCTTAGGCGCTATATATGCATGTATGTACATGTACCCGTTTCTATTTTTTTCCATATGGCCATCTGTATGTTTTTTAAAGGCGCTAACCCCCCAAAGTATGCTACCGAAAAAATACGCTTCATACTTTATGATTTAAATGGATCGATTGCTGATCAAAGTTAAAATATAATAAAAAGAACCATGCGAGCCCAACAATAACAAGAATAAATTGTTTCCTTTGCTACTTGTGTAATACATCGGCATTATATCCATAACAATAAAATTGAATGTTAAAACAAATAAGCAACGTTTTCATCGCCATACAGAAGAGATTATTTTTGAGTTTTCAATGTGATGCATGAGCAGCACAACAGGGACAACAGCAATAAGAACATAAATAAACTAAAACAACAAACAGCAGAATGGAAAATAAATATTTTACCACTTTATTCGCAGTCAACTAGCTCGCTGCGGATGAGATGTATGTATGCCTATCAATTTTTGGCTATTACGAGTATAGCAAACAAAGCGCATGAGCGCACATTTTTGATGAACGCTGATATGTATGTTTAAGCGCGTGTTTTTGTGTGTGTGTGGCTGGTTCAATATTTGCTGATTGTTGCTTGCCTGTCGTTATTGTTATTACTACTGCATAATTTATGTGTATGCATGTGAGTGTTTTTATTGCATGCGCAGAGTTTTGTTTTGCTCTTTTAGTCGAAATCCTTTATTCTTTATAGCTATTGTGCATATTTATTGATTGATTGTTTTGTGCTGAAGTGAAAACTGTAGAATTTTGCGGAATTATGACGCATTTTGATGCAGGAAAACGGATATAGTTCTATACGTAAAGGATAGAGTAACTATTTAGAGGAGAGGAGAGACACATATGTATATCAACATGAATAGATTAAAACGGAATGAAGTGAAATGAAATGAATGGAATTGAAATGAATTTTGAAAGTATTTTAATGAAATGGAATTTAACGGTATGAAAAGAAAGTGCAAGGAGCGCTTTGGAATGAAATGGGATAAAATTAAATTAAATGAAATGAAATGAAACGAAGAAGAGTGTAATGGAATGGAGTGAAATTTATAGGATCCGCATTAAATAGAAAGGAAGAATAACTAGAAATGGAATGATTGAGATGAAATAAAATGAGCTGAATGAAACTTAACTCAGTAAAGTAGAAGATGTAA